AACATCAAATAACTTGAAAGGTACAACTTTTCACGACTCGACAAAAATTCCACCCATTTAAGAGTTTTTAAAATACCTGCGGAATAACATCAATACTTGTTTCAAAATTTCTTCCATTTGATGTCATACAACATCAGCGGAAGCCTAGAATTTCAAGAAATTCGGGGTCACACGTCACCGACTAAATATGCAACTCTTTCCTTGGTGGAATTTCACAGGTTCTTCTAATTCGCATAAACCGGGAACACGCAGTATGAGCTGGAGAGGTTGTTAATACTACGGGATGATGGTGGAATAACGTTGTCATTCCAGTACCAGATTATTGTCCTCAAGCCTCTCCTGGAACAAACTGGTAAAAAAAAAATCTTCCTGCACTTCACAACATGGTACAGCCAAAAAATCCTTGAAGTCTGGACATCATGGGAAATACATAAAGGTGACGTTATTCCTGACAAAACTATTCTGCTACAATTTTAATTTGTGACAAGATTATTCCAGTCTGACAAGGTTGGGCCTAATGACCTTATTCCAGCCATCCCAGAAATATTCAATGGGGCTCTGGGATATAGATGTAATTGGTTTTTGAACCTTGTCCCAAGGTTGGATCACATTTTCCCTCATATAGACTTCAACAGAAACATATTTCATTGGTTCTCCTGCTTTTTAAAAAATTTGGAAAAATTGATTTACTTTCCTAGCTCCAAGATTCAGAAAATAATGGCTCTGAAGGAAAACACAGAAGATCTGCCATTCTGGCATGGAAATGAGCCCAAAAGCAAAGAATAACAAGCACAAGTTTTACTACACTGTGCATAGATGATGGAAATAGCATTCTAAAAGAGAAGCATACAATTTGTCTATTCATGATTACCAATTGATTTTACCTTTATTGTAAGACTTTTTATAAATATATAAAATTCAAAATTTGCTTAAAAGATGTAAACAGTTTTCTATTTTTCTAAAAATTTTGGTAATGCGTCTATATCTCTCTGTTAACATGGAAAGAAGCTCAAAAATAAAAAACAAGCATAAGTCTCATTATACTCTTCACAGATCCTGAAAATAGCCCTTAAAAGATAAGTGAAAAATTAGGCTGTTTGGATCATCAAATAGAGTTAATTTCATGATAATATTTGTTTTAAATTTTTTGAACGTAAGAAGCCGAATTTTTCATAAAGAAATGAATTTATTTTTCAATTTTTATAGAAATTTTGGAAGGGTGCCCAAATCTGGGGATATTTTCCTGATGTCGGGACGATTTTTTTTTTCAGTTTCTAGTTGATTCGTCGCGGTGAGTTATTTGGGACCCCACTGCTCATGTAATTTAATCAAGTCCATCAAAACGTCTCCGATTCTGCGTCTTCGTCATAGTCGGTGAAATCACGATTTTTTTTTTCAGTTTCTAGTTGATTCGTCGCGGTGAGTTATTTGGGACCCCACTGCTCATGTAATTTAATCAAGTCCATCAAAACGTCTCCGATTCTGCGTCTTCGTCATAGTCGGTGAAATCCGAATTCCGCGAGTTGTTTTGCAGGGGTTCCCCGGTTTTGTAGGTCTTGTCCATGAGTCGGATCCCCTTGAGTGTGCCTCTGCCGATCTTATTCTTGGATCCCCTCGTGCTGGAGTCATCGCTGGACTCGGTCCTGGTCCTGCCTGGCTTGTCAGACTTGCCACTGCTGCTCCTGCTGGTGGAGCTGGTGGTGTTGTTGGTACCACTCTGCCGATCTTATTCTTGGATCCCCTCGTGCTGGAGTCATCGCTGGACTCGGTCCTGGTCCTGCCTGGCTTGTCAGACTTGCCACTGCTGCTCCTGCTGGTGGAGCTGGTGGTGTTGTTGGTACCGGAAGACGGGGACCACCGCTTTAAACGACCTGCAGTCGATGACGGTTCTTGTTGTTGTTGTGGTGCCGGGCTGTTTACATACATACATTGAGCATGCACATCAGGAAGGATGATGCGGTGACGATATGCATGTCGTGGGTCACCCGATTTTATTTCCATTTGTTCAGCATCAGAGCAACTTATTCTGCCACGTGTCGTTTGTATACATCGTGCAGGTGCTTTGATCAACCCGATTACTTTATTTTAAAATATACCGTCTTTACTGGAGTACCACGCATAAATATATATACAGTATTTTTAAAACTTTTTAAAGGAGAACAAAAGGGGGGTGCCTGCGTCAAAGGAGGGGGTTACATTTAAAAGAAAGTTGTAGTATACAAGTACACTAAGTATGTTTGCTGTATTTCATTTTAATTCGAAATTGTGGACCAAGTTTCACAGAAATACTTGATTTTAATGGAAGCAATTGAAAATTATTTAAATTCAGGTTCAATTGTTGCTTTAATTCAAATTTGGGTGCTTAAGTTTCGAACTACTGTATTGCAGTTTCAAAGTCACAAAAAATGTGGGACTTGGAAATGCGATTTTATTTTAAAAATTTGAAAGAAAAATCCCAGTTTGTGTCTTACTCGAGAGGGGTCGTTTTATTTGACCATTAGAAATGAAAAAAGTACTTGCTTTATTTTAATGCACTCGAATGTCACATTTCTATAGTCTCTGGCCAGAAACACAGTCGTTAACATTAAATATGCTGTATAACCATACGTAATAAAATTATAAAAATCTTTGCCACAATTTTTAGTTCACTCATAAAATCTTTTAGTATTATTTGGCAACCTTATACGATATAGACTATGGTTACTGCAAAATGATGGGCAAAATAAGCATGAGGATTATATCTTCTGCTTTCAAAGAAATTGAATGTGGTTAAAGTGCGCCTTGAATTTGCAGGAGGTTTTTTTTCATGTTTGAAACGAACAAAAAATGTCGTACGTAGCTCAAAAGAAGGTGTCCTATAAATTAAAAAAAAAAATAGGTAATCCATATTCCAGTGGGATACCAGTTATCAAATGTTCATCAACTGCTGTCGAGTAAAATGTGAAATTGTTGCGTATAGAATGACTAATTTTCTTCCAGCGCCCTCCATCAACCAGTTATTTAAACGTTTAAAATTTTCATTAATAATCAAATAGCTGAAAAACCTTTGACATTATATAGCTCAACAGTTTGTATATGGCATTATTAAGAAAAACCATCATCGATTGTTCCGCGCACAAATTTGGCTGTGAAAAATGTCGTGTGCGCAGTCGTGTCCTCCATCATCATCATCATCGCTGACAGGTGGCCCAATAAGTTGCTCAACACTGAACCTCACCCGTTGTCAGTTTGCAGCAGCGGCGGTGCTGGTGCCACCTTCACTGCTGCTGCTGCTGATGGCGCAGGAGCCATCGTCAGTGGTTTCCCGTACGCTGGCACCTCGACTGCGTAATTCGGCGTGTATTCGCCGTGGCGTTGTCCACTCCTCCGATAGCGCACGACGAGACACACTGCGAGCACTACGATGGGGATGAGCACAGCCAGCACGATGCCAGCCGTCATGCTGGCCTGCATGGCGCGATACTCTCTCTTTGCTGAATATATAAGCAGCAATCGGAATTTTAGGTGAGCCTCGGTTAGA